AATCTGTTATGATGCAGTCATGCTGAATACAGCAAAGTTGTATTCATTGTGGTGATATCTTATTTGCATTGTAGTAAATAAAGCTTGCCTGAAGATCAGAATGCAAAACCAGCCACAGCTGTAGAGGTCAGGCAATGTCTGTACACACCTTTAATCCCAGCAACCACACTAGTTATCCACAGAAGCTGGGCGGTGGTGGTGCAGTCCTTTAATCCCAGCACTAGAGAGGAAAATAAGACAGGAGCAGGGTGGGTCTCAAAGAGGACAGGATCGGCCCAGCCTTGGTAGAGGTGAGAACTCTCTGGTGACTTGGCTGCTTTGCTTTTCTGATCTTCACCTTGACCCCCAATATCTGTCTCTGGGTTTCTCTTATCCACTTTACAACTCATGGAGATGTTCACAGCATCACTGTTTTCTTAGCAAGAGTCAGAATCAAGATGACCAACAAAAATAAATGGGTTCTATAACCACTCAGCAGAACATACAACCTTCATTTCAAATGATGCTTCTAAAACTGCAGTCAGCATCGGGAAGATTGATGCTATTTTGTTGGAAGCAGCAATCTTTGAGCCTGTGCATTCAATTAGTTTTGTTTTCACACCAAGCCTTCTCTACATCACCCACACTGAGGCTTCAGCCTCATTCTTTTTGTTCAATCTAATGCCAGATCTCAGATAGCTATCGCTACCCTTATTGACCTTGTGCTTTCCAATAAATCTTCCCTACATTGCAAAATTAATTCCTTCCCTGTTTATTGAACAAATATTTATTGAGTGGTAATCATTATTCAGAATAGTTCCCAAAGCAGCCCGGGCTGCTTCACTGGTCAAAGGGAGTCCTCTAAATTTTCAAGGAGCTTGAGCTTCTTGGGAATGACCATCCACAGGTGAGACTTCGAACTTCGAACTTCCGCTATGTAGAAGTACTGTAATGGCATTGGGTGGTGGATAGGGAGCCAAATAGGATAGACTGGCAGGCACAAACCCTTGACAAGAGCATGGAGCTGGCTAAGTGCCTATTTGAGGGAAAAGCATGCAGCCTCAGCCATAGAAGCAGCTCCAAGTGGGATTGCCCTGCTTTGTTGAAGCGCTAAGGAAACTTTTGTGGCTGAAGAGGGGTACAGGGGTGAACCAGATCATGCAGCGAGAGCATGGCTCTAATGTGTGGGAATGGGGCTGTCATGTGGGTCTGAGCAGGACAGTGGTTCTGACATGGCATTCGAAAGAGTTCCTGTCCTGGGGTGAGGAGAACAAAGAGAGGAAGGGCATGGGCCACTTCCAGGCATCGGGGTAGGAAGAAGTGAGTGGATTCTGAGTCTCCTTTGGCACAGAGCTACGGATTTTCCTAACGAGGTATGTGAGGAAATAGGAGGAATCCAGAGTGACCACAAGCTGTGTAGCTTAAGCCACTGGAAGGGTGTAATTGTCACCAGCTGTGGGGACATGAGACGCTTGATATAAGTGCTTGAACTCTCGGTGTCCAAGCTAAACCCAGAAGCACAAAGACTTCAGCCAGAAAGTATGTCTGGTCTGTTTTGTTTGGGTTTAAGCTTCATATAAGGTCCTATATATCACAAGCTGATCTCTGATTAGTCATCCTTCTGCCTCAGCCTCCTGCGTGTAGGGATTATAGTCATGTACCATCATGTCCCACCCATGGTAGTACTCTTGAAGGGCTGTTTTGAGGTTTACTAGTTGGCACTGTGCCATATCCTTTACTGACACTGCATTTCTGTAGAGGCCTATAAAAGTGGCTCTATTCCATTTTGACTTAAGGTCAGAGTTTGAGCCCATTATTGTTCCCTCAAGGTTAAAACACAGTATGTAGTGTATGTTTTATCTAGATAGCTGGGATGTCTAGGAACATGGCACTAGCCTGTACCGGTTTTCTGGTAAAGACCTCATGCTTTGAGGAGTCCTGAAAGATGTGTGTGTGGGGGGGGCATGCATTCAAGAGAGAGAGCCTTGCTTTTTAATAACCCAACCTTTGAAAATCCATGCATAAAAAACAAGCATTGGCATCCATTTAAGAGGACTTGTCTCCATGACCCAAACACCTCCTACCAGTTTCCACCTTTTAACACTGATTCATGTGGAGTTAAAGTTCCAGCTCATCGGATTTGGAGCATACAGTGAGACTACAGATCAGCCCCATCTCCTGTGAATACACAGTGTCTGACACTTGGATAACCTGTGCTATGATTGCTCAGGACCCTTCCAATGCTGTGTCCCCTTTCCTTATTACATAATTGCCAATGGAAGTTCTGATGACCCAACGAGGCACACATCTTCCCGCAAAGGAAGGCAGTGCCTATTTAAACGTTCACATCTCTGTATTTATAAAACCAGTGATAATGAAAAACTAGATATTTTGCTTTCCTTCTCTGTCTCTCCCTTTTCATTTTGACATTTGGTGTGTGTGTGTGTGTGTGTGTGTGTGTGTGTGTGTGAGAGAGAGAGAGAGAGAGAGAGAGAGAGCAGACTACATTCTCAGTAAATTGTTACTGATAGCAGTAAAGAGTTACTGATGCAAGTGCCTGCATGGAAGTGGATTGTAAAACACTGTGTATCAAATATGCTTCGGCATGTTTGATATGATTCTCCCAATGTTTATGCGACAACGTTTAAAAGTTACAGAGGATTATTCCGCACACGATGCGTATTGACACAACAGTCTTTGAAGGTGAGGACAGCGAGAGCCACTACTCTTCCACTGCCAGAAGCAAAAGACACAGAGCGAAAGTTATCACACTGGAGACAGATGAGTAAGGAACTAGGCGAGTTCAGAGTCTCAGCTGCCTGGGCCTGCCTTTCCAGAGTGTTCAACCTGCTCAGAGCACTGTGTCTTTGGGACTCAGAATACTCCTAATAACAGGCACCCCAGTATAACTGAGCACTGTGTCTTTGGGACTCAGAGTACTCCTAATAACAGGCACCCCAGTATAACTGCACAGTAGTTACAGCTGACTCACCCTCATGGAGAAAACCCTGGCAAAAGTCTCAACTCACTGTGACATAAGCACATCTATTATCACCCTCCAGTGTGATGACCACACTCACATGACATTGGTATAAGACATTATATCCAGAAGAGTTCTTCTCTGCTCTGCAATACCCCTTTGCCCCTAGAGTGACCCTGGAGGGGGGGGTACGAGCCTTAACTCCATTGCTACGCTATCTGCCAACCACCTTGCTACATCATGTCATGCCCTGGTGGCACCAGCAGCCTGTGCAAGCCAACACCTTAGTCATTCTGTAGAAGAGTGGGTATGTCATAGCCAGCACTTTCTTTTGGAAGGTGTTACATTTCAGTGTATTTCCTTAAGAACTTCAGTCAGACCTGTAAGACTGTAAAATGTCAAGGTCCCAAACTCATTTCTTTTCCTGCTCCTGATATCTGACCCTTGGAAAATTGTCACCGAATTGTGTTCAAATATTTGAAATCCTCTATGGTATTATTTCTCACACCCGAGAGACCGTCCACAGACAACACGGATCTGATGTCTACGTCAGGAGTAGCTGACCATTGTTTCCTTTGCCCGTGGATCTATTTGCCTGACGATTCATGCATGGACAGAACTGGACATCTTTGTCCAGAGAACTGCAGCCTGCCTCAGAACAGGAAGACTGTGGGCTTCCTTAGAGGCGGAAAGGAGCCCCCATTCAACAAATGCCAGAGGTCATCCGCTTGCAGGAAGTGACAGCTCACTGGGAAGGAGGGGGAGGTAACTGCCTAAATTTAAATTGAGATCAGAGTTAACAACTTTGCCTTTGTGAAACTCACAGCCCAGTTTCGGAGCAGCCGAAATTCTTGGAAATGATGTGGCCTGGCTCATAATCGCTTGTAGAGCTAGTGTCTATGGAATGGTAGTGCTACAGCAGACATGCTCAGTCCTTGAGGGGTTCGCCTTATAGTGTGAGGGCTCAGGCACTGAGGTTCCCCCCCCCCATCCCCACCCCATCCCCATTCTATAACCTGGAAACAAAGTCACAATAGATGTTCTCCTGCTCACAGCAATTGGGACTCACTCACCCAGGGTCTCTCACTTTAAGAGGACATTGTACTTCCTAGGGAAACTTACTAGAGACAGCTCCACACCTCAGAGCTCATGGGTTCAAACCCTGGTGTGCTTCCCAAGAATCTGCATTTCTTTCTATTCTGAGCAACGTGGGAGCTGCTGGGTCCACAGCCACAAGCAGAAGACTGCTGGGCCATACCAGTAAGAATGAATTCTCTCCTGGGGAGTGGTGGTGCGAGCCTTTAGTCTTAGCACTGAGAGGCAGAGGCTGGCATATCTCTGAGTTTGACACCAGCCTGGTTTATAGAGCAAATTCCAGAGCTACACACAGAAACCTAGGGTAACATACAGAAACCCTATCTTGAAAAACTACTTAAAAATAAATAAATAAATAAATACAAGATCAAATTCCTCTTTCTTTTGTATAAGTCCAGTAATGGCTTACTGAAGAAAGGAGATAGACTCCAGAAGATACACCTGGGCCAGATTCCAACTCTGCCAATCAGCAACTGTGTGGACTGGAAGGAATTTTGCATCCTCTAGAACCTTCAGTTCCCATACCTGTAGGATAATGAAAACTCGCAGGCAACCTTTTTTGAGTGACTGAAGAAACAGTGTAGATTGTCCACGGTTGAGTTGGTGGTATCTCTGCTGCCCAAGACCTTGGTATCAGCATGAGCCTGGCTTACATGTATTGCAGGTTACCCTGCTGGAACACCTCTTGGGGGAGGGGGTGAGAAGACGCAGTACCAATGAGTCAGGCACCTGGAGTCAGTGAGTAGCAGCAAGCATGCTCCAGACTTGTTTATTAAGGAAGTTAGGTCCGCCTTTATACCCATTCCCAAGGTATTGGCTTAGGCGCTACTCGGGCTGTAAGTCCTTCCCTCATTGGTGCCTCTGGATCAGGTTTCTCTCCTTCATCGTCAGCATCTCTGGGCATTGAGGCAGGCTTGGCAGCTTGGTTCAAGGATGAAGTGCCTACCGAGCATGCGCATGGGCATGCCGGCTGACCTGGGTACCGGGGATAGGGTGACTGTGGCTTGGGCAGGCTGACTGCAGTTTCTCCCACATATATGATAATATTGAGCTCTTCTGAAGAGCAGACATTCTGAGAATAACCCTTGCCCCAACAAATAAGAATCTGTTTTAGGAAGATTCAGATTCTGAGTTTTGACATGGCTTGTTGTTTGATAAGACCATGGTATGAGAGTCCGTAATTCTATATTGACAGTGCCTTGTAAAATTGAATGTCCATCCAAAGCACAATGGCATTTGGCCTGGAATCAGGGCATTAAGCATACAATGGACATGGAGTGAAATATATCACCAGTGAAACAGTGTCTGGGAGTTCTGTCTTGGGCTAGCAGACATTGATCCTGTTGCAATTTGTTTCCAACAGAATCTGGCCTTTGTTGGAGTTGCACAAAGCCACGCGGGAGACCCGGGGGCAAAAGTGCCTTGAATCCTGCTCCAGATAATCCCTTCCTGTGATAACTTCTAATGAAGTTGGGAATCAGGCCAAGGATGACTCAAACAGTGACTGAGAACAGATGCTGGGGACTGTGCCTTCGTCCCTTCTCTGCAGGCCTGGGAGGAATGTAATTTTCATGTTCAACTGGCTAAACACCCATTACCCCAAGGAGCTTTGCAGATGCCCTTAAAATTCCTAGCTGTCCCCTCTCAAGCCTTTCCATCGCTCTATAGCAAGCTATCCTCTCAGGAGCCACAGAACGAAAGCAGCCTAAGCGTGCTGGCTACTTTGTTTGTTTGGCTTGATTTTTATTTTTGGTTTTTGGTTTTGTTGTTGTTGTTTTGGTTGTTTTGGTTTTTTTTGGGGGGGGGCAGGGTTTCTCTGTGTAACAGTCCTGCCTATCCTGGAACTCACTCTGTAGACCAGGCTGGTGTTGAATTCACAGAGAAACTCCTGCCTCTGCTTCCCAAGTGCTGGGACTAAAGGCATGCACCACCACTGCCTGGCTTGCTAGTTTTATGTCAAATTGATACAAGCTAAAGCCATCTGAGAGGAGGTAACCTCAATTAAAAAAAAAAAAATGCTTTCATAAAACTGATCTGTAGTCAAGGCTGCAGGCCACTTTCTTAATTAGTGATTGATGTGGGAGGGCAGCACCCACTTTGGGTGGTGCCATCCCTGGGAAGTTGGTCCCAGCTTCTGTAAGAAAGCAGGCTAAGCAAGCCACGGGGAGCAAGCCAGTAAACAGCACTCTTCCATGGCCTCTGCATCAGCTCCTGCCTCCAGGTTCTTGCCCTGTTTGAGTTCCTGTCCTGACTTCCTTCAGTGATGAACAGTGGTGTGGAAGCATATGCTAAATAAACCCTTCCCTCCCCAAGTGGCTTTTGGTCATGGTGTTTCATCACAGCAGTAGCAACCCTGACTAAAACACCGACTGTCCAGTGATGGATACACAGATAAGAAAACGTGGTACATCCATTCAATGAAGGATGAAGCCTGAAAAGGAAGAAGGAAGGTGTTTTCCCTTATAAATGACTTCATTATTACTTAAGTGAAATAACCCAGTAACAAATACTGTGTGATTTCACATGCATGCAGCACCTGGAAAAGTTAAAGCCACAGGGAGAGGACGTGACATGGTGGCTGGAGCTGGGAGAGAGGGCGGTTAGTATGTAGAGGGATAGTAGTTAGAGGCAGGTTTTGTTGGTGTTTAATGGACCTAGAGCTTCTGGATGTGGACAGTGGTGGAGACTGCACAGTACTAGCTGTTCTTAATGTCACTGAACCACATGCTTGAGATGACTAAGATGGGAAATTTTTTAATGTATTTTACTGAGAGGGAAGGCAAAAATCAAATGAATTCAACTCAGCGCGGTGAGGGGTGGGGGGGTGTTGCTAACTAAGTGCAGACTGAAGAGGCTACATTTCACCTGCTTCCGAGTTACTGAGTGACACGAGAATTAGCCCATCCCTGTGTCTGGCGTCTGTCCAACTACCCTTAAAATGCACACTGAAAGCAGATAACAGAAGGAAATAGCTCAGAGGAAGGAAGAATACTGCTGAAGGGAAAGCAATAGGCACGCAGCACTATGTGGGCACGTCGACTAAGAGCCCCAGAAGTCTTTGCAGTGTTTGAGACCTAAGAAAACTGTAGGAAGCTGGTATGAATTTAATAATTTCCCCCCCATGCTGCTTAGCCACCGATTTTCATGCATTCAGCAGCAGATTCTATTGCATACTGTGGAATCTACGGTGATCTGGCTGGTCTATAAAATGACTTTTACGACAAGCTCTGCTTGTAAAAGCTGTGCCAGAAGGGTCTCCTCCCAGCTTTCCCATTCAGGCTGAGAGAGCTCTTTGGCAAAGGCAGTGAGATCTCCAGAATCTTCCTAGGGTTCCAGGCTTGTTTTCTGACTGGCACATGGCCGATGGGACATATTTCCCTTCCCTTGTCGGCTTCTTTGGACTGACACAAAGCCGTGTGTACTTGAGGGTCCAGGGAGATGCTGAACTCCTCAGCTGGGAAGAGACCTTGCTCTTCAAGGGTGGCAGGGATGTGAGGGTGTAGAACAAGAGCACATGTATGAACACTGACAGGCACCTGTGCTCTGGATGCTGAATGCAGATTTTTATCACTCAGTCCTTACTATCTTGTTGCTTCCTTCCTTCCTTTATTTATTTGATTTTATTATGAAAAAGTGTATATTTGGAATTAGGCAGCTGGACTCAGCTCAGATGATCCCAATTTTGTTGTTGGCAACATCCAGAGCATCATAATCGGGAGCCAACCGAACATACACCTTCTTCTTCTCTCTATCAGGCCTTATGAGGGTGTTGACTTTGGCCACATCAATGTCATAGTTTCTTCACAGCCTGTTTGATCTGGTGCTTGTTGGCCTTGATGTCCACAATGAACACACGTGTGTTGTCGTCTTCTATCTTCTTCATGGCTGACTCAGCAGTCAGGGGAGTTTGATGATGGCATAGTGGTCAAGTTTGTTTCTCCCAGGCACATTCTTTCGAGAGTATTTGGACTGCCTCTGGAGCCACAGGGTCTTGGGCCGCCGGAAGGTGGGTGATGTGCAGATCTTCTTCTTTTTGTGGCTGTGGATGCCTTTCAGAACTGCCTTCATGGCTTTCAAGGCCTTTGCTTTGGCTTCGGCTTTGGGAGGGGCCGGAGCTTCCTCCTTTGCTTTCGGCGCCATCTTCACAAAAAGTGTTGCTTCCTTTATTTGACAGTGGGCAAATTAAATAAAGTTCAGGGAATTATTCTTTAACTTTAAGGAGAATTCCTCAGCCTGGTAGGAGAGGAGGAAGAGGAGGAGGATCAAATCTTTGCTTTTTTTTTTCTTTTTCTTTTTTGCTACTAGTAGGGAAAACTCTGGTTTGTTTGCTTCTCTTGTTTACGTCGAGCATCTGTGAGTATCTGAACGATTGACAAGGATGGTTTTACCACGGCAGCAGGTGCTCCATGGTTTAGTAATAAGGTGGCTGGGGAAAGTGAATTTATTGTATGATATGGTGCATCCCAGATAAATAAATACACAAGCATGAAAGAGCAAATGGATACCAAGATGAGTGTGGAGCAAAAGTAGGAGTACTAATCAACTTGCCCTTTAGATGCACTGTATTTGTCCTACTAGCCCTTTAAATACACTGTATTTGCCTTTACCAACTTGCTCTTTAGATACATTGTATTTGTCTTTAACAACTTGCCCTTTAGATACATTGTATTTTTACCAACTTCTCCTTTAGATACATTGTATTTGTTGTTAACAACTTGCTCTTTGGATACATTGTATTTGTCTTTAACAACTTGCCCTTTAGCTACATTGTATTTTTACCAACTTGCCCTTTAGATACACTGTATTTGCCTTTACCAACTTGCTCTTTAGATACATTGTATTTGTCCTTAACAACTTGCCCTTTAGCTACATTGTATTTGTCTTTAACAACTTGCCCTTTAAATACATTGTATTTTTACCAACTTGTCCTTTAGATACATTGTATTTGTCTTTACTAACTTGCCCTTTAGATACATTGTATTTGTGGTTACCAACTTGCCCTTTAGATACATTGTATTTTTACCAACTTGCCCTTTAGATACACTGTATTTGTCTTTACTAACTTGCTCTTTAAACTGTATTTGTCTTTGAAGAACACAGAGACTTTGTGCTTATCAGCTTTGTGTTGCAATAAGGAAACACCCAAGTCAGGCTACTTAAAAAAGAAAAAAGGTTGTTTCTGATTGATATTTAGTCTCAGAACAAGGAAAGAACAATGAGCAGGTAGGAAAAGACTCTTATTTGAGGTGAGGATTCTCTGTGTGGTCCATGCTACTCTCCAATTTGTGGCAACCCTTTTGCCTACGTCTCCCTGGTGCTGGGATTCTAGGCATGTGTTTTTGAAAGAAAAGTAGGAAAATCTGTGAACCTCATTTAAAATGTGTGATTCAGTGCTACAAAGGACAGTGCTACAGATAAATCAAAGCAGGTTAAGACACACAAGCATGAGACTCAGTCAGTGTTCTGTCTTCAGGGGAGTCCACAAAAAAATCCTATGAAGAAAAGAGAGAGTTAATGCTTCTCACATGTGTTGTTTTCCTCCAGTGGAAGGAGGAGCAGAGAGAACATGCAAGGCTGGCATCTCTGTGGGGCATAGTCTGGAAAGCTGGATAAAGAACCCAGAGTATAGGCAGTAGCTAACTCAGTTTCCAACTTCAGAGCTGTTGGTTTGGGTAGCCAACTGAGTCTTTATCTTAGGTCTCTCTGTCTCTCATATGCATACATGTATGTAACAGACATTCATTTTGATTATATACTTTTTTTAAATTTTGTTTTGGTTAGTTCCCCCCCCCCCCAAGACTTGTGGCTTTGAAGGCTGTCCTGGAACTTGATCTGTAGATCAGGCTGGTCTGGAACCCATAGAGATCTGACTGCCTCTGCTTCCTGAGTACTGGGATTAAAGCCGTGTGCCACCACCACCCAGATTATATACCTCTTCACTAATCCAGATCCTTGTGTTCTCTGT